CATTAGAACCAATTCTTCTTATCTTTCGATGCAATCATAAAGAAAATTTTGAAATAAAATTTATGGCATAATATTTAAACCATACAATTACCCAAATTGCTCTTTTTTCACTTGGTTACTTTTTCTGCTTTTTAAGCCTCTAACGCCGCCACTTATACGTTAATACTCCTTCCGCTATTCGAAAATCTATGTTTAGGGCGCGTCATTATTTAGTCTGTTACGTATAGCTTAGACACAGTTAACTAAATTACACAAGTTCAATAACATTTTGACAACTGTCAGTTGCGGTCGTTTTCTGGCGAAGTAGTGTTGGAATTCTGAAAACTAGTGTAATATGTAAATATATTCTCATTTTACACTTTCAGAAAAAAGCGAAAAATGGAAATAGCATCAATAAATTACCTGGAAACGAGTTATATTGCAGTAGCTTTAAATCTCAAATGGAGGAATTCGTGCACTGAAGTGAATCATTTTTGAATCACACTACCGTAAACATTTTAGTAAACGCTTTTCATCATAAACATGACAGAAAAAAACAATAAACTTACTTCAAGTAGTACAGGAACAATGGTTCCTGGAAAGCCTGTACCTATGAAATTGTTTGCAACATGGGAGGTTGATAGGACTCCTTCAAATTGTATACCAAGGTGAAATTGATTTTTGATAAATGCATTACTAAAATTGAATGTGCTTGAATTAATTTCTAGGCTGTGTTCTCTCAGGCTTACAAGACTTGTTGTATTACGCCCTTTGGGAGCAGATTTGACATCCATATCTATAGCAGTTAGAATGCAGTCAAGTAAACGCACATTGAGGTCTAATGAGTTGTTACTTCCTCCAAATGGTTTGTTAGATACTAGTCTTGAATTGACTTTCAGTCTGCAATATCCACATTTTCTCAAAAGAGATGGCAATAAGCTTCATGTATTATTACAACGTAAAAAGCGCTACAAAAATAGAACCATGCTAGGTTTTAAAACTTTAGCAGAAGGGATCATTAGAATGGATCATGTAAGTAATTTTTTCACATTATGAATTATGATTATTAAATTTTTAAAAAGTTTTATGTAAATGTAATCTATTATGAGATGTATTCTATTTAGAAATGCAATATTTCATAAATCAACAAATATTGGGCACTTTGCCCATCAAATACTTTTCGTTTCATACACAGGATTTTTATTGTAACATGCAAATTAAATTGGCATAAGAAAATATAAACTTGAAAGTTTTCCAATTTACCTATTTCAAATGTAATTTACATTAAAAATAAATCACTTCAATTAGTATATTTATTTTGACTTGCAAATAAATACAAAGTTTTTTTTTGTAGGTTTTACAAAAGCAAATGGATTTAGAACTGGAGTTACTTGCTGAAGGGAGCAGCAAAGACAAGGGAGCAACCCCAGTTGCAAGAGTAACAGTACAACAACTGACTTCCCTTCCAGTGGATCAAGATCATAAGGGGGACAGAGAGAGGGAATTTAGTGATGAGGAAGATGAATTCAGCTCTGGAGAAGAAGAAGCTGCTGATCTATCAGATAGTGAACCTTTGCGTCCTAAACTGTCACATCCTAGAGTAAGTTTCATTATTTCTTTGCCATTATTTGCCAGTTGAAGTTTTATTGATATATTAATTTAAAAAAAGTATTTTCCGCATTCACGTACATAAGTAAAGTTTATTTTATTTTAATTGAATTATTTACTTAATTTCCAATTAAAAGCAAGTGGCTTCTCCGTACTTTTAAAAATAGAACCTTGTTTAATCAATAATTCCCATTATTGTATGAGAGGGTGTGTAATTCAAACAACACGTTGATTCTAAAAGTACTCGCGTGAATTATAATTTTACTTATTCATTCATTATTGACCACAT